CAGCTTCCTGTTGCTGAGACGTGCTGGAGTAGCTTGGCCTGTGAGCAGTGGTTTTTCCACCATCATCACCACCCTTGTATCCCATTTCAGTTGAGTGGCAGGAGGGCTTGCGGTGGGTTTGAAAATGCTGGGGGCTTGCATGGTGCTCATGTCCTGGCTGGTGTTTGGAACAGGTGAACGCCTCTACCCTCTGATCCACGTGATGCACCCCTCACTGGCTGGCAAGATCACTGGGATGCTGCTGGAGATTGATAACTCCGAGCTGCTGCTGCTCCTGGAGTCCCCAGAGTCCCTGCACTCCAAGGTAGGACAGACTCCCTGCCCAAACAAATCCCTTCCCAAAGGGCTGATTGCCTGCTGCTGCAAGGGAAGTGGGCACAGCCCAGGATATTGATCCCTGTAGGAAGAGCAAGTAGCTGTTGGTTTTATTTTTGAGTGAGAAAGGAGCCCCAGGTTGATGTCACCACAGCCAGTGCCTGAATGTCTGCCTTCAGCAAAAGGAGAGGCTGAAGCAGCTCCCTGAAAGCACAGGCCAAGCTTGAGGGTGGTTTGGAGGTGGCTGGGAAGCAGGAGGGGAAAAGCAGAGTGGTATCTCTACATGGAAGCAGCCAGGAAGATGCTCTTTCCTCAGAATAAAAGGCAGACAAGCTGCTGCCTCTCTGCAGTATTTCTTGAGTTTCCTTCTTAATTCTGGTAAATGTTTAGCTTTGGTTCCCATCAAAGTAGTTGGAGTGAATTGACTGCATCTTTTTGTTGCTCCTTGGAGACAGGAGCTGCTTTCACCCTTCCACTGCTGTCTTTTTGAGGAGCCTGGGCTCTCCTGGGTGATGTCAGGTAGCTTTACCTGTGAAATCTGACTTCTGCCTAGCAAGTTCTGACTTGATAATAAAGGAGAGATGCCCCAGAATTTCCCTTGGTAAGAGACAGAAAAGGTCTTTGGGCTGATCAGTCTCCTGCAGAAGCAGCAGGCTTGGATTATGGAATTGTTTGAGTCCTTTACCTTTTGCAAGCGGGTCTGTGTGGAGGCCACACTGGAAGCTGAAATGGTGAGTCCCTGCTGCAGTGCAGTTTCACACTGGAGCACCTCAACTCCTCCCCCTTGTGCTGTGTTGTCAGATCGAGGAAGCAGTCACTGTTCTGCAGGCACACCAGAGCACCGAGGCACCCCACAAGGGCAGCGCTGGGGCCTTCCTGCCCTGACTGCAGGTGGGTGTGCGGGCCCGGCTGGCTCACAGCCGCCGGGTTCTTACGCGGGGATTGGGGATTGGGTTTCTCATCCGGGCCCAGCAAGGCTTAGTGAGCAATGTCAGTGTCTTTGACTGTAATGTTCCATTTCTTAAATTGCATCCTCCATTTCCTGGACTTAGTTGTACCACAGAGACCTTTGTGGGCTCTTTCTATGTTGATGAGGGCAATGGCTCTGCTACCGGAAAGGAATATAGGAAAGGTCCTTGCTTTTCTGTAGGTCTAGTGGAGACCAGCACAATCTTTCCTGGAAATTCCCAGTGGACTTTTTGCAGAACCTTGACAGTAGATACCCTATAAAATATCCTTTGTGTGCTTGATCAGGGAGCTGGCCCTGCTGCTGAGGCTGGGATAGACACACTAACAAAGCAATTCAGACTGCATGTACCCCTTTGAAGATATTTCAGATATCTTCTTGAGTTATGATATCAAAGTAACAGTGTTAATCCAAGTTCAGGTGAATTTCATGTTTTCTGGATGAAACTCTTCCTTTAGCAGTTGAAAATTACCTGTGTGGGTTCTCTGTTTCTTGCAGACTGCAGGACTGAGAGCAATCCCTGAGAAGGTTGCTGCTGAAGAACGGGAGCAGGAACCCCACCATGCTGTTGGAATCATGCCCGTACAGTGACCCTGGCTTGTCTTCACATGCCCCATCTTACTGTTTGTGTGTATTGTAACCCCTGTAGAATTGCTTCCTCCTGCACCTGTAAAAATCCTCACATTAAATCTCTTCTCACCACTGAAAGCACCTGGTGTTGTGTGGAACCCAGCCTGGGGCTGTTACCCATGAAGAACGGGAGCAGGAACCCCACCATGCTGTTGGAATCATGCCCGTACAGTGACCCTGGCTTGTCTTCACATGCCCCATCTTACTGTTTGTGTGTATTGTAACCCCTGTAGAATTGCTTCCTCCTGCACCTGTAAAAATCCTCACATTAAATCTCTTCTCACCACTGAAAGCACCTGTTGTGTGGAACCCAGCCTGGGGCAGTTGCCCGGAAAATGATGAGTGCTGATGAATCATCATTTTACTGAATTTATTGGGTTCTGTAGTTTTATTTGTTCATGTAGGTGACACTAATAAAGAACTGTTCCACCCCCACAAATGGGTTAGTTCCCTTGGCAGGAAGACAGGCAGGACTTTGCTTCTCACAGGTGGAAGGATGGACTCAGGCTGCAGTAATTAGTGATTGAAGTTTGTGGTGCTGGTGGGGTGTCAGTCTGGAGAGCTGACAGAAGGGACATAGAGCATTACATTAACAAATTGCCAACCAACAGGCTCCTCTAATCCTTTCTGATTGCCTAGGAGGACAGATTTAAGCAAAACAGGATGGATTGCTGCTGTTGTCCTCCAGTAATGAACCTTGTAGACCTGCAGTAATGGCCTCGAGTGTCTCCTGCTGCTCACCACAGGGTCTGTCTATGTGTCTGTGGTGCACAAGATCAACTTGTTGAGGTATTGTGGAGCAGCTGGAAATCAGAAGCTGTGTTTCCAATGTGGGTCTCTGACCAGAGGTTCCCAGGAGTCACTGAAGAGCCTGCAAGCATTCACGACTGCATTTTCCTGCAAGGACACTTCCTGCTTGCAGGGGGAGCTGGGACCTGTTACTGCTGTGTTGTGCTCCCTGTGTTGCTGTCATCACCCCGGCCTTAATCCTCTGCTCTTCCTAGTTAGGAAAGGAATTTCAGTCCCTAGAGACTCCTCAGTGCTCGGGGCTGGTGGTGCACTGACCTCACTTGACCTTCCTGGAGCTGGCAGGAGCACACCTCCACCAGCACCACCCACCTTCTTTCTGTGCAGCTTCTGCTGGTTTTGCTGTCTCAATCTTCCTTCTGTGCTGTATCATACTCTCGCTTCAGCTCCCTGCTGAGTCACCCCTCCTACCTCTTGTTTTCCTTCCAGCATTTTAATAGAACCACTTACACATTTGCTCCTGCATGGTGTTTGCTCTGCTCCACTGGGATTCTTCACTTTTTCATCATTCCTTTTTCTCACCTTCATTTCACCAGTTCTTCCTCTGATGTCCTTAAATATTTATTTTCCTCTTAGTGGATGCCTCAGCCTGAACTGTTCACTGTTTAGATATCATCCTCTCAGTGAGATGCTTATAAAGGACTTTAATTCACTTATATACAGGACCCTGATTTGTTATTTCTCTCAAAGTGTCACAGGCTGGAAACTTTCCTGCTTGGTCTCTAGAGGAAAAACATGTGTTTTCAGGAGTGTAATGCACATAAGGAGAGCTGGAATGGAGCTGTACAGGTCAACTTCATCCTGCTGTTGTTTAGCTTGCCTGCAGCCTTTTTTCAGGTGTAACAGGGCAGCTCAGGTGTGCTTGTGACACCACCTGCAGTGCCAGATGGCTGTGCTGGGTGAGCCCTCTTTAAAACCAGAGGGAATGCCAGGTGGGGCCCAGGAACACAGGGATATCAGAACAGCCTCTGAAAGGGTGTGAGCAAGGACAAGAGGTTTTAAAATGATGATCAGAAAAGGTGAAGCTGGCCCTAGGATCCCTGATGATATTAGCAATGGTTCAGAGGAGCTCCCTGGCTGCAGCCCTTGGTGAAGTCTGAGGCTGCAGGGAGCTGAGGCAGCAATGCAAACGAGTCTGGAACAGCTGCTGTTTCTGAGTGGGGCAGATGAAGGTGTGTCCCTGTCACAAACCCTCTGTTGCCCTGTGGCCAGCACTGCCTTTGCCCACCTGGGAAGTGTCCAGCACAGACAGCAGCACCTCAGCAGGAGCAGAAGGGGAGGCAGCAGCAGAAGTGACCCTGAGCTTGCAGTAATGTCTTTTTGCTGTGACCTTTGTCCACCTGGTGCTGTTGCTGGGGAAATCTTTGGTATCAGGCATAAAAAATCTTTCTTGAGGGGAAGGAGATGGTGCCTGCTGCTGCCTAGGGGTGCTGTAATGAGCTGCTGTTGATCAGTGCGGGTGTCTGCCACTCAGGAAACAGCTGCCAAAGATAGCTCTTAATTGAGTGAAACTAGTCCTTCTTCTGGACCCCTGGACTCCTACTCCTAGTGCTTCTCTGCTGATCTGTGTACTGCTGTGTGCTTCCCCACCCTGGAATCCATCACACCTGCCCTAAGAGCTTGGGCAAGGGCTGGCTCTGGGATCAATGGAGCTGCCATGCTTAGAAGCAGGAAGGGAGGAGATTGAGCAGTTTGTGCCCCTCAGGGAGGACTTGTTCCAAGCCCTGGCACATTACAGCTGATGGAGTACAGCCCTGGGACCGACAAAAAGCTGTTTAATGTCAGGCTAAAGTAAGAGGTCTTTGTCTTCAGTGGCATTAGAGGAATTGCTCTCTATTCAATTGCTCTCAAAATACAATTCAGTGGGGTACCTGCCTGAAACACTGCTGAGAGAGGCAAGGTGGGAAACAAATACTTTTGAACCCTGACCAAGGGCTAGCTTCCTCTTATCTTATTATTCTGTATTATGAGTTGGATTTGGTCTAGCATTGCCCAGCATCTTACTAGCTGAGGCAGAGGGCAAGGCTGAGCAATGGTTGGAAACCATGATGCAGTGCTGTGCTGTCCTTGGCATGCCTTTCCCAGCCCCAGTGTCCCTGGAGGCTTTCTGGTTCTCTGAACTCTAACTTCAATGGCCACTATGAGCTGAGGTCACTGTCTGAAAGAGCAAGGCCCTGTACAGTGCCTGAAGTCCTCTGACAAACAGAGGCCACAGTATGAAATGGTTCAACAAGTGCTTCCCTTCTCCTATTCCATCCATCACAAAAAACAAGTCCTAGAGTGAAAATAAACATGGCTTTAATGAGAACAGGTTTTAACAGTTCACAAAGTAACTCCAAGTATCTCTTTATCTACCATTTAAAATCAGTGCCATCAATACCAGCTCAGGAGAAATCTAAACATGCATTGAAGTAGTAAGCCAGACCTTAGCTGAGGTGTTACTGTGTATTTTCCTCCCTGTAACGCCCCATAGCAACTGCTCCAAAAGGCACAGAGGAGCTAAAGTGTTGTTTTTTTTTTTTTTTGAAAAAAACACAAGACAAAAAAACATTGCAAAATTCCCAAGCACCCAGAACCTGAAAGAACAGTGCACAGTGTAACAACGCAGGCTTAACTTGCTGCTTTTTTTCTTAAATGTGCAGAATAATTAAAGAAAGCTGCTACTGTAAACATCTGCCCAGCCACACTAAGCAGCAGAACTCAGCTGAGGGCCAGCAGGCATCAAGGGCGAGAGGGAACAAGCTTGGCCCTGTGCAAGTAACTGTGCCCCTGCCACAAGAAGGGTATGTGGTGCTCTGGCAAATACAGCAGATCTTGCAGCGACTTTCTTTCAGTAATAGCAGCACAAATGCAGCAAAACTGTCACCTGAATAAGGACTAAAACCCTCTGCCTGTAGCTCTTCAGACAGGAACAGCCACTTCTGTGCATCTTAGCCAACATGTAAAGAGTCCCTGAGGCCAATAGTTAGAGGCAAATTGACTTCAACCAGGAAAATTAACCTAAATGCCTCTTGGAGAGGCACACTAAAACTATGCATGATCATAGAGCCAGCTTAATAGAGTTTGATACAGATCATGTCTTAACAACCATTGTGCTGGTACAGAACCTCTTAGACCTCAGCAGCACTGGAAGATGGATTTTAACACCAATCCTGCATTGAGTGGTCCCTGTATCAACAGCAGAAGGGAGAAAGCTTTTCTCTGCAGTGGAAAAGAAAGCTTTCCTTGTTGCTTGGTTACCCTAGGCTCTGTTCAGTTCCTGCAGTAATCTCAGTGCAGCTGTGTTCTTTGGTTCAGTTTTCAACAAGCTCTTGATGTCAGCAATGCTTGATTTGTAATCCTAGAAAAATAATATTTTTTAAGGGGTAGTGCATTAAAAGGGCAGTCTAAGGCAGAACTACTACCCAGCAACAGAGGCTGACACAGCACAGTTAAGCCTGTGACTCCCTGGCACTGGCATTGATGTAGCTATTCTAAAACATGTTCAAACTAGGGCTGACAAGATAATTTCATCACTCAGGTGTGTTCTGAGTCCAACACCAATGCAGTATGTACTCCAGTACTGACTCCAGCATTCCTCAGGAGACAGAGATACAGCTCAACCCAGCACTGCTCTCTCTGGTGACCAGGGACAGGATCTGTGGGAATGGCCTGAAGTTGTGTCAGGGGAGGTTTGGGCATTAGGAAAAGGTTCTTCACCCCAAGGGTGGGTGGGCAGTGGAACAGGCTCCCCAGGGACGTGGTCACAGCACCAAGCCTGGCAGAGCCCAAGAAGTGTTTGCACAACACTCTGGGGCCCAGGGTGTCATTGCTGGGGGTGGTGCTGTGCAGGGTGAGGAGCTGGACTTGAGGGTCCCAGTGGGCCCTTTCTAACTCAGCACAGTCTGTGATTCTGTGAAAAACAGTTGCCTTCAGCATCTCTAGAAATAGGACCTAATGCTGACAAACTCGTGAGATTCTAACAGCAAAGTGTGATGTCTGACTCTTAGTCCTTAAAGGTCTGATGGCAGAGGTTGTCTAGCACAGAAACAAGCCCTGAAGGGTATCTCTGGCTCTGATCATTCATCAACAGCCATCTAGTCCTAGCCTGAAGCCCTTCAGAAACTCCTGACTTACCTTCAGTTCTTTAAGTGCTTGAGCACGCCTGTAGAGTGCCTTGACATTCTTAGGATCCAACTTCAGAGCTTCAGTGCAGTCCTGTGCTGCTTCCTTGTATTGCTTCAGGGTCAGGTAACAGAGAGCTCTGCAACACACACATCTCTCAGAGACCTTTGGCTGAAAGCAGCATCCACTGCCACAACACACAGAGCAGCTGTCAGTGCAACACAAAGCTGGGCTCCAAAACCATCCTCGTGTGCTCTGTCATCTTATTCTTGAGCCCAAGTTTGTTTCATTTGCAGGGAGGAAAAAAAGGAAATGGTGTTTCAAAGAAACAAAAAGGAAGATGTTTAGAGCAACCTGCCCTAAAGCCAAAGTGCACTTGCACTTGGAGGATGCAGGCTCCTGCCCCTGCCAGTGCAGCACCTGCTCTGCTTGCTGCATCTGCCTTACAAGTAATCTGAGTGTTTAAGAACAGCAGTCTGAGGCTTGTAGGAGAGCAGAGACCACTCAACATACCCCAGTCCTGTCAGACAAAGCAGGCAGGGGAGAAATCCCCTGGCAGCCCAGAGGGATGTGTCTCCAAGGGGTTCTGTAGTACCTGATCAAAGAATGTTATACTACAGGGAGGCTGCACTTGGGGTGAACCTGAGGGGGTGGTTTTGTTTTATTCATTAGTTTGGGAGCAAACATTAAACAGTTCTGCTAGGAAATACCATGGTGGTTTTTATACAGGGCCAAGAAATAGCTGGGCAAAGAGCTGAACAGTACCTGTTGGTGTAAGTTGCACATTCCTTGTTGAGCTTTAAACTCTCACTGTACTTCTCAACTGCTTTTTTATGGTTTCCTTTCTTTACTAATTCATTTCCTTCTTCCTTAAGCATTCTAGCTCTCTCCATGCCAGCAGCAGTCTTGTCTGGAAATGGTGTGAAAGGATACAGAACTCTATAAAACCAGCAAGAATATCACAGCCTCACAGAAAACAAATATCCCCATACCAGAGGCAAGACACAGAGACATCAAAGAAACCAGAATCAACCAAAAAGGCTGTGGCAGAGCCAGGCCTGGGTTTCTCCAGGCCTCAGCCCTGGCTCAGACACACCAAGCAGGTGTGGCAGCTGTCTTGTTCATCAGCCTTGGGAGCTAGAGGGCTCTCTGCCCAGCCCAAGGGCACGTTCCCACCTCCTTCTCCCTGTGGTGCAGTTGCAGGAGGAGTGTTTGCCCCAGGGGCCTGGGCAGAAGAAAGGCTCCACCTCATCTGGGCAGAAACAGGCACTGTGGGGATTGGTGGGAGCTTCTGACGCCAGTTCACGCCATCCTTCTCCAGCAGGGCTTTAGTCATCCTGGAAGAGACAGCTCCCAGTCACCCTGGCTGGCTGGATGGGCCACACAGTAGCCAGCCAGGTCACTTTCAACCTGGCTTGTATGTTAAGTACAGCATCGCTCTCCTTGCTAATTTCTTTACATGCATCTCAGCTAGGTTTATTCTACAGACATGACATTTGCAAAAAGATGATCTTCACACCAGCAGGGCTAAAAATACAACAGGACATGGGTTGGGGCTGTGATTACTCAGGTGAGCAAGAGACATGCATCTCACTCCTCGGTCTGACAAGCAGAGGGCACCAGAAAGAGAACAGGACTACAGCAGCCTGTAAACACAATAAACACAGAGAGGCTTAAAGGAGAGGGTGCTGAACTTTAGTTCACTATCTCCTTTAAACCAGGCAAAAGCAAAAACCAGTCCCCCAGCAATCATTCCCAGACCTCGGCCAGCACCCCGAAAGGAGCTCTAGGCACAGGCAGGCAGAGGGAGCACGGCCAGGCCTTGCTCCACTCGTGTGCCTGGGACCCAGCCTGGTGCTGCCAGGGCAGCAGGAATGAGCAGGGATGGAGCAGCAGCACCCGGCGCCGCATTCCCGAGCCTGTCTGCGCTCCGTGCCGCGGGCAGCGCTCCTCACCTGTTGACTCCATCGTGTGCCGCCTGCACGGAGCAGTCCACCTGCAGCGCCGTCTTGTAGTCCACATAGGCCAGCGAGTACCTCTCCAGAGCCTCGTACGCCGCTGCCCGCCGCAGGAGGGGCTTGATCCCGAACGGGACCAGCTCGAGGGCGCTGCGGCGGAGCGGAGAGCGCCGGGGCGCCGTGAGCCAGCGCGCCCGGGGCTGCGGCCGCGCTCCGCCCGCCCCGGCCGAGCCGGGCAGAGCGGCTGAGCGCTCCCTCCGGCCCCGCCGGGTGCCCCCGGCCCCGCCGCCGCTCACCTGGTGCAGTCGGCCACGCAGAGGCTGCAGGCTCCATCCTTGAGGTGGCAGGCGGCGCGGTTGGCCAGCAGCACGCTGCGCTCCTCGGCGCTGGCATCCCCTGCGCGGGGCACACGCGGGACAGCCGCGATTCAGCCGCGATTCAGAGGGTGCCCCCGCCCGCTCGCCCGCCCCGGTCATGCCCTACCTGCGGCTTCCAGCTGCGCCAGCGCCCGGGAGTAGAGCTCGGCGGCCGGGCCGTACTGCCCGCGGCGGAACTCCTCGTTGCCGGCCCGGCGCAGCGCACCGGGGGACGCGGCCATCGCGCCGCTGCCGCCGCGCCCGGGAAGCCGCGCCCCTCCCGCCGGAGCCGGGGCGGGCGCTCCCCGCTGGCATCCGGCGGCGGGCGGAAGCGGCGGCGGAGCGGTGCCATGGAGCAGTGAGGGACAGAGCGGCTCGCCGACAGACCGCCATGGAGACGGTGCAGCTGCGGAACCCGCGCCGGTAAGCGCGGGGTGTGTCCTGCCGGGAGCGGGGATGTTCCGGCCCGTGTTGTTGGCGGTGCGGGGCCGGGAGCGGGGCTGCGGGCGCGCCGAGCTCCGGCCGCCTCGGTTCTCCGGGGCGCTGCCGCTGCCCGGAGCCGCGGGGCCGCGGGCAGCAGTCCGTGGCACCGGGCAGCGCCTGCAGGTCCCTGCTGGGACAGCACCGCGCTCAGGTGCGGGAAAACAGCTTAAACCGGAACGCGGGGAGAAGGCGCTGCTGCGGGAGCTCCCGCCGGTACCGCGGCTGTGTGCCGAGGTGTGCCGGCCCGTGCCGGAGGGGTGACACAGCCCCGGTCACTTGTTCTCTCTTGGGTGAGTTTTGTGCGGGTCTGTGTCCCCGGTGCCGTGTCCGGGAGCGGTGGCCAGCCGTGGCACTGCCGCCGTGCCCGGGCACACCGAGCACATTGGGCACACAGGGCACGCCGAGCAGACCGGGCACGCCGAGCAGACCGGGCACACTGGGCACACAGGGCAGACCGAGCAGACCGGGCACACCGAGCACACTGTGCACACAGGGCACGCCGAGCAGACCGGGCACACCGAGCACACTGTGCACACAGGGCACGCCGAGCAGACCGGGCACACCGAGCACACTGTGCACACAGGGCACGCCGAGCAGACCGGGCACACCGAGCACACTGTGCACACAGGGAACACCGAGCACACTGTGCACACAGGGCACGCCGAGCACATTGGGCACACCGAGCAGACCGGGCACACCGAGCCCGGAGCCTCGGGGGTTTCGGGGCGACCCCCGCACGACGCCGTGAGTCCCGTATCTCGGGCTGCGGGCAGGGCTGGAGCTCCAGTGAAGTGTCGCTGTCACAATCCTATCAGCGGTTCCCAGCTGGGGCCCGGAACGCTTCGGCAGCGAACAAAGGAAGCTGCTGGCTCTGGTCCCCAGCGGCATTGGCCCGTTTGGTTAAACAGTGATGTATATTCTGTTAAAAAACAAAACAAGCTTGGTTTCATTCTATAATTGCTTATGGCGGTGTTGACGGGGCAGGTGATTAAGATTAGATCTGAATAACAACAGAGGTGAGGTTGGGTTTGTGTTGCTGTTACATCTGTGTGGTGTAAACATCCAGGAGAACACAGCAGTGAGTGCACTCGATGGAGCAGGACAACGCAAAGTAATTGGGCTCCTGGTCTGTAGTGGAAATTATGCTGTTTGCTGCAAGCACTGTAGTTGTCTGATTATTGTGTTTGGGTATATGAGAAGTCTATTTTTTCCCCCCCTTTTATGCTCGTAGAATTTAGGCCTCAACTTAAACAAGAAGGATCTGCCTCTTGCGTTACCACATTTTGGGCTCCTTGGAAATGGTGGCTTATGTGTTTTCTGGTGCATGTATTACTTGCTTTTCCCCTTTTCCCACACCTTCTTCCCTCTCCATTTTCACAGGGACGAGTAAATTCGGTTTAATGCTTATCTGAGCAGGGAAGCTAGCAGCTACTTTCAGTATTTCACCACTTCCTGAGTCTGCTTCTATATAATGTTTCCTCTGCTTCAGGAAGCCATTGTATGTGCTCCATGTGTGAGCTGCTCCACCCGTGTGGCTTTTGTACATAAACATAATAGCCAGGGATCAATGAATGCTTTTTCTTTCTATTTCTGAAGAAATTGGGTAAAAAAGTTAGATATTTAGTATAAAAATTAGTATTCCTCTAACTGGAGTCCTGATCTTTAGCAACAGCTGTAAGAGCTTTCAGGAGTAATTCACAGTTGCAGGCAACCATGCATGTTTTACTTTAAACACCAGTCAGTGCTAAAAACTCTTGAGACTCTTTTAAGTTTCTGCGTTTAAAAAACTTGAATGAGCTGGTTTAGGGAGTTTGGAGGGGGTTTTGTTGGCTGGTTTTTGTTTTTGTTTATTGTTGTTTCAGATTTTTTTTAGTTCACGTGAAAATGAAAGAGCACTTGTTTGTGGGCTGTTGTATACTCTGACCACTGACAATAAAATACTGTTTTCAGACCTTTTTGTTATGTAGTCCTTAGCTGTTTCAGGAGGTTTGGTGAACAGCTCTCCAGTGCAGACTCAAACAAATATGATTGAGCTTCTTGTTGCTTTGTGTATGGGATCTCCCTAAAAGCTGTACTGGGGGAAAGGGGGCCACATGAAGAATCACAGCACATGGCAGGTTTTTATTCCTAGAAATTATTTCAGCTGACTCTTACTAGCAATACTTTAAGAAGGATGGCATTAAGATCCTGAGAGTCAGATACAGTTTCCTTTTTCCTGATAGAATTTTCCTAGTATAGTCCAGGCCCATTAAGTTAAGATCTGAAGTTTCGATGTTGAAAATGCACAGGTGAGAGCAGTATTGCCTCCTGCCTCCCAAAAATGTATTCCATGCATACTCTAGGCATCAGGAAAGATGATGTTCCCTTTTTTTGGTAGGTATCCTTCCATTCCATATATTGAAATTCAGCAGATATGTTCAGTGGCTTCAAGACTGTGCCACACTGAGGTGTGACCACCAGCATATAGATCCTGAAACTGATTTCTGCCAAGAGGAGCTGTAGATTTGTGTGCCTGCTCACATTCTCTTTGTAATTCCCAGTCCTTTTTTGCTATTGGATGCTAATAATATTCAATCTCCTCATCAGTGAAATAAACTTATTTCATAATCAATTTATTTCATGCCAAACCCTTTGTATGTTTAAGTGGTGCTATTTATTCTTCTGTTTCAGCACAGCCCAAACTGCCATTAAATTAAATGTAATGATTTCTCTCTTCTTACCCATACAGGCAGCTGAAGAAGTTAGATGAAGACAGTTTAACCAAACAACCTGAAGAAGTATTCGATGTCCTGGAGAAGCTTGGAGAAGGGTATGTGTTGTGTTCCAGTGGGCCCAGTGTACATTTTTCTAAGAAAACACATCTGTGTAACAGAGGTGTGTTCAGTGGACTCTGTTTCACTTTTGTCGTGGTCCCGTTTCTGAAAGGTAGCTACTGACATAGTGACATTGTTTGGTTAATAGCAGAATAAAGAATTTGATTCCCAGGAGCTTAATCCAAATAGCAGGTTATGGTTCAGCAGTAGAGAGTTTAAAAGTTTGTGAAAAATCTCAGCCTGGAGTTGGTAGGATCCTGTGGGAACTCAAGAGATTTTGTGGTTCATCCCTGGTACCTCTTGAGGAAGATCTGCCTGGTGGAAGTGAGCTTGTGATGCTGTGCCCTTTGGTGAGGCAGAGCAGCATGGGGACGCTCCTGGAGTGACACGTTCACTGCCTTAAGCAGTTTGAAAAGACTGAGTTGTAAATGTGCCTGGCTGCTGCAAGTAAAGAAGGTGGAAATAAGAGTGATAATATCTGACAGGAATAAGCAAACCTCTCTGACCAGAGCTGTAATTCTTGCTGATGCTCAGCTTGTGCTCTGTGCTGGAAAAAGAGAATTTTTAGGTGTGAATTTGTGTGAAAGGCCATTCCAAAGCTATGGTCAGTGATGGTGTGCTCTTTCCTCACTGTCTAAGTTTGCTGACTTATTTGTATTGCAGTATTTAAAAGCTAGTGGGCCGATTATTTACATTAAAATACAAAATATTTTTAATAAAAGGGTAGTTAATGTTTTACCTGATGGTTCCACTCACAAAAAGCAAAACCATAACGTGCATTTTTAAAAACATTACTGTATTCAGTATTTGTTTAATGTTTTGTTTTCTAGTTCTTATGGCAGTGTGTTCAAAGCCATCCATAAAGAAACGGGTCAAGTTGTTGCAATTAAACAAGTTCCTGTGGAATCTGACCTGCAAGAAATCATCAAGGAAATATCCATAATGCAGCAATGTGACAGGTAAGTGTGTGCTGCAAAACCCTTTGTTTGCATGCAAGGAAAAGCATCACCAGTGGCCTGGCATTTAATCAAATAAGAGCCATGATGCCGCCTTAAATGCTTTTTTAAAAGGCTGGACTTGTACAATCAAGTTACCTGGTATCAACTGAGTCACCTTAGCTGACCATTTGGGCAGTGCAGAGGTAAGACAGCAGAGGTGTAGCTTGCAGCAGGAGAGGGCACTGAGCTGGGTGGAGTAACCCCGCACTGGCTGCAGCCCTGCGAGCGGCCGCTGCCTCCTGCCCGGGCACCGTCACCTCTGGGACAGTGGGAGCTGGATTGTGTGCTGCACAGCAGCTGCCCTGCCCACAGGGGTGGTGGTGGCTTCCCAGCAAGGCATAGAGAACTGTTAGAAGGAGGTTTTTTGTTTCCTTTCTAAAGGGCACGTGGATGAGAGCCGCTAATGCATGACTGCTCTTGCGTGTGCGCAGCCTCCCTGCTGTCACCTGCCCCTGTGGCAGGGCTGTCCTTCCTGGTGCTGTCCTGCCTCTGCAGCTCTGCTGCAGTACAAGCTGTCTGCTGGTCTGAGCATCCCCTGAATGACCTGCTGGCAGCTCTGTGGGCTGATGGTTCTTGTTCCCTTGTGCATGTTTTTGTAGGAAGAGATGCTGCAGTGACTTGGCCAGTGAAGAGCTTGTGGGTAGGGAAGACCCCCTCAAAGTCCAAGGCTGAAGGTTTAAAATACACTCATTTCTTCTGGTGTTATGAATCTGGCCTTAGGAAACACTGCGTTGAAGGACTTCCTGCGTGGAAAGCTATTTAAAATAAATTACATGAGCAGTATAAAACTGTGGTCCCAGTCACTTACTCTATTGCATTCCACTCTCACTGTAGTTAAATGAAGATTACTTAGGGGCAGGCAGCAGAGTGTATCTTGAAAAGAAATTGTTACTGAAAAATCTTACTGTGTAACTTGAAATGCATTACTACTTTCTCTTAAATATTAGTATTGTATGGCCTAAAGTGAGACCTCAGAGTTGTGAAC